GTTAGTGTTAAAACGAGCGTTATGACATTTTGCACGAATTCATGATATTCTGCATTTACATTCACGAATTTGGCTTATTTTTGTTTGTTTCAGGTATGGAAGAAAAGACAGGAAAACTGCATGTGACTGAAACATTCTCCATTAGGAAGTCTAAGCTCTTTGCTGGTTATAAATGGTTTAGTTTAGACTCATGCCTTCCAACATACTACAAATGTACATCTTGAGTTAAAGCCTACACTTAAGTGATATTTTTGAGACATTTTTTTCTTGAAACTGCAATGTCTAGGTTGTAACCCAAATTAATTGAATACACCTATTGATCATTAATGTTTAGACGAAACTTGCCAGTAAATATTCCCTGTCTTTTTTGCATAAGTAGTATAAGACTTAATGCTACTTGGTCGGTGTAAGCATTGCAGTTCAAAACCAAATAGTTCGCATACAAAATAATCAGTGTTGCTCTATGTGGCACTGAATACAAAAAATGAATAAGGAAGTCATGGGCAAGTAAATCCTCGCCATTTATTAATCAACTAAAGCGAATCGCTTTGTGCGTAACGCGAACGAAATATTTGGGTGCACAAATACGCGAAGGCCTGAAGCGGTGATATGCGATAACTAAAGAGTTGATGATTGTGAAAGTGAGTGTAATGAACTTAAAGGCTAATTTATTTGACGGCAGTATGGGAAACTGCTGGCGCAAGCGTGAATGTTTGAATAAGGGGATTGGAAACAGAAATCTGCAAAATGTTGGGATGACTCACAAATTTTAATAAACTAGTGATCAGGGGTCCAATAAAGTCTAAAGAGTTTGAGTCACTGCGGCTAATTTTAGTCACCAGAGTCTGTGTGAGCAATTAGGCATCACGTGACAGAACGAGTAAAGGTTTTGTGATGAAAAGATTGTACCTATAAGCATGATAATTTTAGCTTAATATATGTTAGCTCATTATCATCGAAGAATCACAAAGAAACTGTCCTTCTATTCCCAACATAAGTTGTTTTGTAAAGTAATTTTATGGACATTGGGAAGACCTTTTCTTTTTTTGATATTGTGGTGATTTCACTGAATATACAAATTTCGTAAAGTACTTGCCTGCAGACCTGAAGGTGGCTAAAATACTGACTGATTTCTCACAACAATGTGTTTTATTTGATGGATTGGAAACCTATGTTTCAGACTCATATGCAAGTTTGTATAAAGCCAGTGGCCACTTAGGACCATAATATTTTTATTGGGCATGATAAGGACACAAAATAATTGAAGAGGCAGAAGGAGCGTGATGATTTCATATCACCATGTATCATCACATAAATTTTTACGTGCGGGTGATAGCTTAATCAATGGGTACCAGAACGAAAATCAAAAATCGATACCTAAATCCATTAATGAACTCATAGGTGACATAAACAACTATTGCGAAACACCTTTCGCGCTGATATCCGGCACTGTTTTCTTTTGCGTCACTAACCTCGAAAGCGTGCCATTGGTGTGTAAAATTCAGTAAAGTTTTTTCCATCAACCTCTATTCCATTCGATAAGCGTCATTTTAATCTACTAAATTCTATGGCCCAATGGGAGCAAGATGTAAGTAGATAACGTTATTAATCTACGTTAATAGTTTCAGTATATTTAATTAATGATCATTGTCCAAAACTAATGCCCAAAGAACCTTTATAGATTTGAGGACAATATTAATTTGACTTGATTTTTTTCAAGCAAATTTACGTCAATTTTTTTAAATAACAAAATAATCGCATTTCACTAACATTATTCTTTTGGACCTTCCAAATATTACGTATAAGGATATGTATTTTATTCACAAAAACAACTTTTTAAATTCTTGCTTTCTGAAAAAATCGGAGATTTGTTCAATTAAAACTACTTTAAAACTAGTTCATTATTTAACAATAGCGCTCATTGTGATGCCAGCGGTTATGCCAATGTCCTTGTGTTAACTTCTTTCATTAAATAAAGTTTAACTGACAAATTTACAATTTTTTTATTGGGCGAAATAATTTCAAAGGCCTATCTAATGAGGCTGACTGCAGACTTCAGCAACGAAAATTGGTCGCTAATGCTCAGAAAACCTTTTACATCTAACCTTAATCGAATCTACGTTGGTTTACGCATATTGCACCTATCAATCGTCAAATCCTAATTCTGACGATATAGCGAAAAAAAATATAAAAAAATAAAAGTAATGTGTTGAAGGTTTGCTTGCATAATTTCACTTTTTTAAGAACATTTGGCGCTTAATTTTCTAATCGAGCACATTAGTCAAAATATTTGCCGTTTGGTGCGTATTTGTAACACTTGCTATTACATTATTTTAAAATCTTGCAAAATGACAGTGCTTGTTTGTTCTCAAAGGTATATCATCACAATTATGTTGGTCAATCTGAAAACACTTTGTGCATTGTTTAAATATCCAAGGTCACTACCACACATTTAGTTCGTTCGACATGCGTGTGCCTCGGTTAGCCTCATGTTTTGGAGGCACATCGCGGTTTTTTTCCTCAATCACTCATAAAACACATTACGATGTTGTCGTTGTTGGCGGAGGAATGGTCGGCTTTGGTTTCGCTGCCTTTGCGGGTAAGTATTCTGTATGTTATATCTCAGCAGCGTTACACCCGATGCTAAGAAATAGAAGGATTTTGCTTATCGAGGAAAACTCTAGAAAAGAATATGTCAAAGGTCCCGAGCATAATGTTCGTGTCGTGGCTTTAACACCCATGAGTCGCAGCCTAATCGAAGGTACTTAATTTCTCCTTTGCTTCACGATTGTATTAAAGGTGTAGGAGCATGGGATGTTATCATGAATACGCGCTGTCGGGCTATCTCGAAAATGAAGGTATTTCTTTTTGAAAAATTTATGTCTTTTTGAAGGTACTTGAAAACGGCACGTCTGCTAGTCTTCTACTCAAACGATCAAATCCAAACGATGTTTTGGGATACATAGTCGAAAATGACCTTATTCTCTCGTCTTTAGCTGAGTCGGTTGCGAGAGCCGCAGCTGAATCTGGTACAAAAGCTCGTCCTGGATGCATTGACATGATGCATAATGTGGTGATTGAAAACCTCCGATTCCCAAAATCATTTTCTCAATCTGATCTCCCTGAGTTATCGATCAGGCAACGGGATTCGGACAAACGAACTTCGGTCAAGACACATTTACTGGTATGGTACCTATCGTATGTTTTAACCACCTTTCATACTCTCAACGTGACTTAACTGCTTAGGTCGGCGCTGATGGGTTCAATTCAAGCGTTCGGAAAGCTTCCGGAATCCACACAATTGGCTGGAAACATGATCAATCTGCAATCGTTGCAAATCTTAATCTGGGTCCTGTGAGCCTTTAATGATATTATTTGTTATTCCCAAGTTCATTTCCATCGATATTCTTTATTTATAGTGATTTCGTATTTCTGAAACCAATTTTTCAACCGATTAGGGACTTGCTGCTCTTTTTTGAGTAAAACTAGCAGCTTCTTGTCGGTCAAAGTTGTTAATGTCAGATCAAGTTAAACGACGTCGGGTCTCCGCAGTTTGTAGCTTTTTACAAATCTTTCACCCTAAAATTCTGATTTTATAGCCCGAATTGTTGGTTTTTCCGATTTTAGGAATATGACTATACAACTGCGTGGCAGCGCTTCCTCGAGACAGGTCCAATAGCATTCTTACCGGTATGTTTTCTGCGTGTTTTTAATTCAATTGGCGTACTTCAAAAGCCCAACTTTCATGAACGAAGATAGATTTATAAGTACTGATATTAATAACATGCATCCATCACCCCATATCAGTACCCTCTTATCCTAAATGCGCATATTTCAGACAAAAGCAGTACACAAAAGTGTTTGTATTTTATGGTTGCCATTACGTAGGAGCAGGCTTCTCAAATAGATTAACCAAAATGTATAGCATTTTAGACCATTCCCTGTGTAAGCGTCAAATCCCTGCACAGGAAGATCATGAATTCCATTAAGGCAAAGGAGCAGATTGCTTAGTGCTCTCTGGTAATAGTGGGACATCATTTTTGGGGGGAAATTAACTTATGTCGTTCATGAGCGCATTAGAGTGTCGTATTCATGTTATCAATTTGCCACTTTATTCATGTGCAAATGTAAGGTAAACCGCTGAGCTTGTGGAACTATACAGTACAAATTGCTTGTATTTTTTGTAAAAAAAGTCAAAACCAGTCAAAGCCAACGTAGCATATTAGTTTATCCCAATATTTGGCCTCAATTTGATATGTGGAATGCGAAAGATGTCTTGGTGCAACTCAACGATAAGCTTCCCAACCTTATTTTGGCAAGACCTACCTAATTTGAGATATAAGTATTGTATTTAGCGCCTTCTTATATATTTTTTTGTAAAATACCAGTGTGAAAAATAAATTACTGTTAATTGACGATGAATAAATTTATTTCTTGCCACTCACTAATTAAATATTCGTGTATGTCAGTTTGGTCCACAAAGATGTTCAGTCACTTGGAGCACAACCAATTCCGAAGCTAAACGGCTCATGGCTCTCACTGATGAGGAATTCGTTAATGAACTCAATCGATGCATGGTGAGGATATTTGTGAATATGTTTACGTTAACTTTGCTCTGTACTGGGATCATTCTCTACAACCAAGCTAAACCAATGTTTTAGGGATATAATTAGTGCAAACTAGAGTCCCACGGTAAATTGGGACTTATAGAACCGATGAGTTAGTATTTACTCTTCTAAATTAGTCTATTTTGCAACGGCTTTTCTATTGCCTTTGAGCATTGCTTAAGGCTTAAATTGTTGTTTTGACATTAATTGGGGGTTTGAAAGTGGTGTATGTTGATTGCTCCCTTAGTACCTTAACTCACACTAAACCTAAGTGAATATGCATAGCTTGTTGAATTTTGTTTAAGTAATGTTGTTTATACTTGCGCTTGACATTAACTTCCTCATATAACAGCTAAGATAGCGTAAAAGAGCCTTTTAGTTGCAATTATTCATTTGTCAGACACTGCTTAGTTTGCTGAAATTGTAAGTTGGTAGATCAATTAGCAGCAAATTGAAGCCCACATTTTTTTCTCTCCGAAGTTACAACCTTGTCATCGCCCGTCAGGAATTGTGTCGGGGCTTACCAAGGCTCTTCGAATGGCCATCTCACGTAAAAACGAGTCTTTCATGCCACCAACTATTCTCAGTGTTCAGCCCGGAACCCGCACCAAATTTCCGCTAAGTTTCAGCCACTGCACATTCTACCATGGTCCTCGTGTTGCTCTCATTGGGTGAGTAAGCTTCTTCACACTGGTCCTCATTGTCGAGACCGTGTCCAAGCATCGTGCGATTTGATTTTCCACCACTTTCACCAGCCTGGTTCTGGGACAGGCAATGACAAGCGAAGGTGCCACTGAAGTAATGACTATGGAGTTTTAAATACAGCTTATGCATGCTATCAATGATGATTTTATAGTAGATTTTTAAGAAAATCATCTCTGTGGAAGAACAATCCAAAGTACACTAATGCATGCTGATTCTCGAGTGTCATGTACGAAACTTGACCAGCTTCATACACGCAATGTGCAATTAAGGCCGGACCGTATTATAGCCGATGAATATGTTACCAAAATCAGCTTAAACACTAGCGGATAGACTCGCGGGAATCGAAACGCAACAAAGGCACTTTGAAACGTTAAATGTTTTGTGCAGGTTGTCATGAATAATCAATATCACGACAATAAGTAGAGTAAATAGTAAATGTTGAACAGTAAATGTATGCAACAAATAGGGGTAGTTGTTGCTATTAGTTAATTTGAATGGTATTTCAACGAAGCCAGTACAGTAAAACAAGGGGCTATACGGAAATAACATGGTAAATGTTGCACTATATCAGAATTTGAATTCATTCGCAGCTTGTTGTTCGCGCAAGGCATTGGTTAATTCTCGCTTAGAGCTGTCTTTCTGCTGATGCTTGGGTTATCTTAGCACCTTCGCTCGGCTATTGAGAGACTTAATCGATCTTTATAGCTTGTGCTACTAATAAATAACGAATCTCTATCTCCAGTGATGCAGCCCACCGAATTTTGCCCCTTTCCGGCCAGGGTGTGAACATGGGCTTGGGCGACGCTTCTTGTCTTGCCCACACCATCGATCGGGCGCTCTTCGAGGGCTGTGATATTGGTAAGTTGTTAAATGAGCCACTTTTTGCACCCAGCACCAATTTTCGTTTCGTTGTGGTCCCCAACTTCTTTTTTTACTAAATTCCGATGCACAAAACATTTTTAGCGGATCCCAGACACCTTGCACGTTTTACTTCCGAACGCCAGCGCTCAGTCGCTCCAATGGGCTTCTTTATTGAAGGCATTCAAGCGCTATACACTCCTGACGAAGTGTTTGGTGGGCCCCTGACTATGCATGGACCCGTCACTTCAAGTCGTGCCTTGATTCGTCGCTTGTCTGCTAAGTGCGGCGTCTCGGACGCTCTACTTAGCATCCGGGGCCTGGGCCTTGACTTTGTCGACGCTTGCAGCCCAGTCAAGGTTCGTCGAGTTCTTGTTTACATCCACTTTTAACCTATATGCATGCTCCATAAACCGTTTTTAAATGTTTGTCTCGTTTTTGTCCCATCTAAAATCAGTAAAAGTTATGAAGTACCGCATACTAAAATACTGAAGTAGTATTGGTATGAAACTAAATTTGTTTTATTACATTCACTGTCACACAAGCCAGCCTTGAATCATCCTTGCTTGACGTTTGTCAAAACTGATCACGTTCTAACATGCTTTTTCATGGCCCAGTTATCCCGTAACTGCTTCCCCCACTTTAAGCGTTTTAAATATCTAGTTTTTCTTATCTTTGTGTTCCCCGACCGATCACGTTTTAGGGGCCACATTGGCCAGCGGCAGCTTGGACATCTGAGAACTCATAAAGTAGTACAATTTCAAACTGGAACCTATTTAGAAGAGGGCGTAATGAAAATGGCAGGGAAATGGTCTGTTCAGGGCTCTAAGAGATTTCTCAAATCAGTTGTGGTGTGTGAAGTAGGCCATACGAGTCTCTGTTTCGTACTGATGGGAGTGCCTGATCTTCGTTCCACTTGGTTCTCACTGGGCGGTCAAATCGAAAAATCAATTCTTCTATAGTAAGAGAAATGTAGTCTCGAAGAGCGTAAATGTAAAATGCGACTCACATTAGTAAACAAAACACCAAGTCCTTCTGTTTTTACGCATTCATTTTCCATTGTTAATATTTTGTTCTTATATTGACTACGTTGTTTTCTGATCTTTCAGAATTTCTTCGTCGAAGGTGCAGTCAAAGGGCGCATTCAGTTTCCATTGTTCCGTTAGATTTTTTAATTGTGATTTCTTGAAATATTCGTTTTAAGTTAAGTGCACATTCGTCAACGTAGCTTGATGATCTATTTCGTTTCAAAATGATGAAATTGTGGGGGGAGTGGAAGTCACGCGGTCCTCAATAATACTTCGAGGTTTTCCTCATCTACAGCTTCCCATGTAGACGTCTGGTCATGGTAATCGCTTTACAATTCGCTATTACAAAGGTAACCATCACTTCGAGCCTGGATGATAGGACTGGCCCTACCTTTTCACTAATCCAAGTGTGCCAATTTTATTTTTAATTGGTTCTCAACAGTCAAATGAAAACCAATTCTACTCTTCCATCTTGCACGACAAGTGGGTTAACTTCTCAGTTTCATTGGAGGGGTCTGCTTTGTCATTAAATAATACCATTTGAAGCAATTGGCGAATCAGTGGCAGTAAATAGATAGATGGTTCCTTCAGATTCTAATGGGATTCACTTAGGGGTTTAACATGTTAAATCTTCCTAGCTTACGGAGTGGTCTGCACGTTAATTTTTCCTGGCATTTAGTCGGTGAATCATTAACCACCAGGGCAGGGTTTTTAACCTTCACCGCCAGATTCGTACCTTCGCAGGATGATTTGATTTGAAATGCGGGTTGGCGGGGTTCCATTTTTGCGCTAGTACTATTGATGTTATATACCACGGTTCTTTAATACAACGTGTTAGGCTTCACAATTGGTTTTCATTAATAATTTGAATTCATTGAAATTGGAGTGATGTTGGAACTTTCTGTCCTAATCACTAATTGAACGCTGATTTCAACCGCTTTTTTTTTTTTGTTTAGTGGCCATGAGCCTTGTCGTTGACTAGGTATTAACTTTCCAGAGCCTAGTTGATATTGAGCATACGGGACAATCGTTAGCCAATTGCACATGAAATCTGGCACGGTGAATCCACTGCTTCACTGAAATAAAGTCTAACAGTTTTCCGTGTTTTGTTCGTATTAAGTTCCATCAAAAGCTGGTGAAAAGTTTTTTTTTCTGCATAGGACGGCAATCGGAGTTGTTACAGCTGGTATTCAGCGAATGGCTAGATATGCAACGTTGCGCAGGTATGGCCATAATAGACAATTCTGGCAGCGATGTGACCGCTCAACAATGCGTAAATGATTCGTCGTTTTTAAGGCTTTTGAACGTCATAAGTATGAACACTTAAAGACGCCTGTTTCGGTGGGATATGTTCACCTTCTAACTGGTAAATGATAAACTCAGTAAGCTGTTGCGTACATGTCTAGGTCTGTCATTTACGTCGTTTGTTTCGTTTTAAAAGATAATTACGGAGAACGAAGACAAGTAAAGTAAAGGAACAGTAAACAGTTTTTATCAACATGAGACTGTAGTTAGACCTATTACGCTGCTCAACCTCTTAATACCGATCTCCTGAAGGCATGGGAATTTCTTATTCCCTGTTTGGTCGGAATACCGTTTATAGGTCCTAACATGTAGTGCATAATAATCAGTACAATAATTACAATAGGCTCTCGTGTTTAGGCGTCCAAACCTGTTTCTAGGCAGAACAGTGTAGTACGTGACCGAGTTTGAACCTATAGCTAGTTGCAAAGCTGACAGGTAATTATCAACTGCTACTTATTCAAAAGGAACTTCGTATTGACCACTTTAAATGCGCGAGCCTTGAGTGTTTGTAAAAACTAAAGTTACATTTTGATATTAGAACGAATACTGGTAAATTAGCGTCAATTAGCACTTGTCACGACGGAACTATGCAAGAAATCTCGCCCTGTGTTACATGCGTATACAACTTTACAACTTTGTAATAAAATAAGTAAATCGTAACATGTGGCCTCAAAAATTAGACCAACGGTGGATGGTACAGGCGTGTGCAATATAAATATTCCATGCAAGGATGTTTTGAATGAATGGTAACTAAGTTTTGGGTCCCACTGCCAACATAACTATGGATCCATAATTCGTTCTATTTTTTGTTCTGTAAAATAGGTGCTTACGTTGGACAGTAAATATTCATCGGTCTTAAAGTAAACGTAATTAGCTTTCGATAAAGGAATATTTTTCAATATTTGTACAGTTTTATCGATTGCAAAGCCGTTGAAGGTTAGAGCCATACACAAGTGGTCAATGTGGTGAAATCAGCCGATTGATGACTAACTTACGAGATATATATATATATCGCTTATAAAGATTCGCCTGTCGTGCTACCATTTCATCAAGCAAAATTTATGCCATGTATAAAAGGCTTCGTTAAAAGAATGCTTTATTTTTCGGGGAATGCGTTCAAAATACAAAAAAAACAATTTCATAATACTGAAGCATGTATTACAGAATAAGTATGTTTTCAAGTAGCCGATAATTCATGGCTGGGAATGCTTTTGCTTTGCATGTTCCCGAATCGATTTATTTTAGCGATCCTGATTAAATTAACACTAACCTTTCTTCTGGTATCCCATCGGTTGACTGTTTAGCAATGTAACAATGTATGATAGAACCTGTCTAGTTTCACTAGCAAGCACTCACATCAGTAGCATCTGTTTACGTGTTCCGATGATGGCCGGGACATACATAATCTTTACAAATACGCTTATGAACATAGATGCGGCAATCAATTGCTTTAGGCATTCACTGTACAAGGCCAGTTTCTAAACTAGACCGTTAAGTGTATGTGTGTTTGGATAAACTGGGAAGCAAAGTGTAGTTTACTTTGACACGTCGTAAGTGTTTAGATAATAGTAGAAGTGTGACAGAGGAAGAATCTTAGGAAGCGTTTCAGATTATATTGATTTTATCAAGCGTGTCCTTCACTACTAGGCTAAGCTACTTAATCTGGCCTCGGTTAGCACAGATAGCAATCAACAGCACCGCAGGCTAAAATCACGCCCTAATTTTACGAAATTGCAAGGGACAACTGGCAGTGGGCAGCGTACAACGTCCAGAAACCCACACTAACTGACTCCGAAAGTCATTAAGGTTTGTACAATTCCGCAGGACGCAATACATGCGTTGCCAAGATGCTGACGACCATTCAAGTCTATTTCCTTTCAAAATTAAGCATACCTAGTAATTACAAGGAAGTCTAAATTTAGCTAAGAAAACATTGCTGTTTAAAACGACATGGTGCGGCTGTGTTTGCTTGACTTAAGCCTGAACATTTTGCAGATATCTTACAGGCTCGTTTTTTTTAAGATTTTGGAGGTAATTATATTGATATTATCGTTGTCAATGGTAGGTACGAATGAAGTTTATCACTAGGAGTTTAATTGTATAAAACTATTACGGCTGCTTTCAGAAAAAAGCATAGCATTACTATTATTCGGGCCTAAGAAAGCTCGTTATTTCATAAAACTTATTAGAGAGACAAGTACTAGTGACGGATGTAGGGTGTGAAGCCTAAGTCTCGTTGAAGGTCAAGCGTGAAAATTGGTTTATATTGTGATTCGGTGTTTCGATCCAACCCACAGTGTGTTCGCGTCTGTATGCGTTTGAACCGACCGGATGAGGTGGTCTTGTTTACTTTGTATTCGGTAATATTAACGGCGAGGTTCGTTGGCAAGACAAAGTGACCAAGACTATTTTGTAGGGTGGAGCATGATTTTTTCCGAATTGTTTGGAATCGATTTACTTGTACTTAAGCATTTGGGGTCATTCCAGGGACAATCCTCGGTTTCTGGGAGCGGACTTCAAACGTAACTTGCAGTAGGTCAGTTAATAATTAAATAATTTCTTCAGCAGTGAAAGACATTCGCCAAACATTGCTTAAAAACCGAATCCACAAAATGTACGGGGGAGAAGAAAGGATTGAACATGGCGGCTTCAAATTACGCTTAACGAAATTTATTACTTTCGCCAATTCCTGGTAGTTTATGATGACTACAGGAACATAAAGATAAGCTGCTAAAAGGATTAGCCAGCTGATGTACTGACTTCGCTGAGTAGAGGCAATTGATCATTAGACATTTAACATAACTTAAAACTGCGAACACTCATTTCAGATTGTTCTTCACCAATTTGTTGGCAGGTACCTCAAGACTACTGTTGAGGAATCAGCTCATTCGAAGCCCTAACTTACGGTGCACTTGTAAAATAATGTTTAATTATAGGACAAATAGAACAATTGCAAATAACTCTGGCATGTTTTACTGCCAAATCATTAAAAAAATCAAGTGAAGAAAGTTAACCAGAAGCTCAGTGTAAATGCACCTATTTTGTGAATAGAGTACGGCTTGACTTACACCGGCATGCAAGTGAATAAAATCAAGGCCCTTTTTGCGATTTAAGATAGGCTTCTATGGTGTCTGGGCCTCAAGAAACAAAACCCAAAATCTAGACACACGGGGCTTCATAGACAAGCAGTTTTACTGTGGGAAGCATTTGTTCATTTTAATGAATGCGTCTTATTGGGAAAGGGGGCTTTTAAATATAATATAATGATTTTAATTTTCATGAATCAACATCTTCATTATATTCCAATTTGGAATGGAGAATTTTGGCATTTTCCTATTGAATATTTTTTGCGCTTAATGGACTGGGGTTTGTGATCTAACTTCGATATCGAAACTTTCCTTAAAGTACCACAGTGGGGTTATTAATCAGCCATCTAGAAACCTTAAACTGACTTGGCTAGGGAATTCAAAGGTTATGCATGCAAACATTTTGTTTTTTTCAGCAATCGTTCTCTGATTAATCAAAAAACAGACCTGCGTTAAGTGCGAACATTATCTTGAATTTAATCTTGATTTGAAAATGACGGTTGCGCTTCCCTACGGCTGTTTTGCAGCAATTTTTTGTGTCCAGAAAGCTCAAGAGTGATTACGACAACAGTCAAAAGAAGCGTTTTAGATGAGGCATTCAAGAAGAGTACTGAGAAGTTATAAAGCCAGGTAAATGTTTTCGTGAAATAATCAATTTAGATGAAACAAAGGAACCCTCATGCTAAACTTTGTTCAGGCAGTCTTTATAAAGACATTTTAATTTCCTAGTCCTCTAAAAATTGACGACGAAGTTAGCTGTGTGGCATTCTTATTACATCTCTTCGAACACCCGTGTTGACACCGAATTTAAACTTAATGGTTCACCGATCAGCCTCCCACAGGACATCGCCCAACTGCCTATTGCGAACAAATTCCCTTGGACGTCGTCTTTTGAATTTAAAGTCAGCAAGATGCAACGTTTTCAGGTTTGTTTTTAAAACTCCCCAATTTAAAATGATGGGATGCGATCGACATCAGTTAGACTATTCGAGTAAACAGGATTGATGTTTTTAAATAATTAATTCGAAGAAAGTTTATATCTAGCGGTCTGGGGTGATAAAACTTTGAAGGCCAATTTAAAATTAGAAAAAGATAACTCACCTTTTTAGCATGGAACATTCCTTTCCTCCGTTTTAATTTTGGCTTGAAAAACCAGTTTGTTCTCCTTTGAGAAATGCGTGTGCAGGGGAATCTAAGACCGCTGCACAGGCAATAAAACGAGGAAAATAAGTTATGCGATGTTACACAAGCAATTTTATAGGACTACTTAATCGAAAATCGTGTCTTTCACGAGGCTTCTAAGGAATTCCGCATTTTCAAGTTATCCGTGTTCGTTTAGTTTTGTCCTTGACCGTTTGGGTTAGGGGCTTTAGAGCAAATATTCTTTTATGAAGGTCGATGGTTTGTAATTCGAACAGACTGTAGAATAAGTAACAAATTTTGCGATAGAGATCGAAACTATTCGAATTGTGGCTTCTTATTTTGCCATTTCTTAGCAGTAATAAGCACCTCTGCATTTAGCGAGAAATTATTTCGTAAAATGGTTATCACCTGATGGTATTTTTTTCAGTTGAAAGGTAACATGTTGTTATTGGGCCAAGTTAATTGCTTCATACATGTACACGTTCAACAGTTTTTTTTTAATAATTTAGATCTGAAATACAATGCTTGCGCATTTGTGGAAGTTCACCACCCAAAATTTCTGCGCATTCAATGCTTTCCCACAACCTTTGCCCAGGAATATTGGTTTGGCCTGAGGCATTAGTCACACTAAGTCTTGACATGCGTGTATCTAGCTCCAGATGTGGGCTTGCGAAAAAAGCGACTTTAGCACCTCTGATTGGTTTCCAGACAGTGCACGCAAATCCTCATTGGCCAAATGCTACACGCATGCATTATGGTCAGAATAGTTAGGAACGACCTCGGAGACTCATTTTACCGTGTCAGCCGCAATGAGGCTGCTGTTCCTGATCTTCTGCCTAACAATCCACTTCACAGGAGCATGGGAACCAGAACCATTTTATGTAGTATCTCATGTCCCCTCCTCTAGTTATGTCCCAGGGTATTTGGATGCCCAGCCACCTCCCTTAAAGGTATACGAAAGTGGTTTGGGGACAAATAGCAATGAAAGCACACCCTCTTCCATTTCACTCGCTATTGTGTTTGACTCGACCGGATCAATGGGTGATGATTTAAAACAGGTGAAGTTAGGTGCCCGACGAATTCTTCAGAGGCACTTGGAGAAAGGGCGGCAGGCATTAATTAAAGACTTTGTTTTGGTCAAAGTCCACGACCCTGGTAAGCATGATGATTCTCTACTTTTCAAACAATAAATTAAATTTGAATCGTATTGCTTCAACACAGGATAGTTTATGATGTTGTGCTAAGGGTAAAAGTTAGGTTATAAGGTAGAATTTGAGAAAATTGGCCTAGGAATTTAAAATAACGTTTAGATACGCAGTATCTAAATGGCAAGATCCTCATCAATTTTTTAGGATTAAAAACTTAGACTGCCTTACAAATACAACAAAAAAATTTTTAAGGCATATTTTAAAGCTATATGCGAATAAATGCTTTATAATTTAAGGCGTAGAAAGTAAAGCTTGTTGTCGCAGAATTAAGCACGTTTTGCTATGGTGGTACATGAATTAACCAATTATTTAGCAAAGTCTGTTTTTATTAACTTGCTACAAATCAATAACGGACATTGGTATTAATAGCCTTGGTTAACAATTTTATCGGAATTTTTGTACAATTGTTCAGAAATATGTGTTAGAAAAATATGTCTGAGGGTGATCCAGCATCATGTCTAGTCTATGTGGGGAAACAGGAAAGATGCCATTCAATCTTTAGTCTATGGTAAAGTTTGAAATGTAGAGTATTGCAAAAGGTTGTCTTATGATGTTCTTGGACAATAGAGTTTGTAAAGATTTCCGAACGCATTTAATATCTTTTATTTACCCACCAGCATTTAGGGAACCATTTTTAAAAGGGATATTGCCTTTAGGTTTTTAAAATCTTTAAGCTGTAGACAATTACGAGATTTGACCTCTGGCAACACAGGAATCTTTTAAAACGCCTGAATTAGACACTGTACTGCAGAATCAATAAAAGTGCTCCGCTGTCAATTGATGCCCACCATCACTAAATCCAGTATCTGGATTCACAAGCGTCAGGGCAATTGTGGGGTTAAGTGAGCTTCACCCCGAAGTACGCATTAACTTAATGGCACAAACTCTTTCCAACTTCTTTAGAATGTTGAGCGTAACAAATAATTAAAGTTCCCCATGGTGCAGACACCCAAGTTAATTACTTGGCTTAAATTAATTTCCTTTGGATGTAGATTTGGTCAAACGAGACCTGTAAAATCTGGTTTTGACTTGTTTCTGCTTCAGAAAGACAAATGATGAAATCAGCCTGCAGTAAAATAATCTGGTCTTAAAATCCACCCATAAACATATCAGTGCTTCCCCCATAAGGTGAAGGGATGGTCAGCAGGCGTTAATGTGTCTTTTCAGGAATCTCGACAATACAGCTGCTCAGTTCTGGACGCTTAGTTTAAGCGATAGCTTAATAAGTTATAAAAAGCAATGGAACTGTAATTTAAAGGGAACAAAATTTCGGTTTCTCTGTGTGCAGATGTCGGACCAGCACGAGTGACCACATCGACCAAGACCTTCTACCAGTACTTGGAGAGCGTTTATACCCAAGGTGGTGGTGACTGCCCCGAAATGACTGTCACCGGTATTGAAATGGCTTTAGAGGCATCCCAACCAAATTCTCTCATCTATGTTTTTACTGACAGCAGTGCGAAGGACTATGATCGCCTACCACGTGTGCTTAACCTTATTCAGAAGAAACAAAGCCAGGTATGTAATTTTTTCTTTATTGCTAATCGTTTATGGGGAGGCACGACTAAGCCTTTAACCTAGACAGTCTACTTCAGGTATTCCTTAATTCTCCCGTAAATTATGGTGGACACCATCCAGGTCTTGGTTTAGACTTAAAAATTTGCCATTGGTCAAAAGCAGCTCTGGTATTTGAAAAATAATGGAAATTTTACTGGTGCATGCAAAATTATTAACTGAATTTGTGATGCGATTTCGGGGGCAAGTATTTAACTACGAGAAGAAAATCTAGTCCTATTGTTACCTGTTCCATGTTTGTGATCATTGAATTCTTGACGATGTCGTTCATAGTTCGTCTTAATTATGACACCAGTCGTTTCTACCAATTTTTTTAACTGAAGGCGAATTAAGGCTTGTGCTCGGAAGTGATAATTACGAGGTAGTTATTAAACATATTTATATTTTGAGTAATTTGCAAAAGGAGGAAATCCATTAGCGATATTTGCGAGTAAAATATCAAGAAAGCACGGAGTTCTAAAATTTTCACCACAAAAACATTTCTTTAAAAATTCTTTTCCTTGCATAAGTGGCCTAACTGCAACTTATGATGTACCCGTCAAACCACTTTGATGTATGAACGATTCACTGCATAGAACCGCGTAAGTGCTATAGTGTTAGCCAGCAAAAACCTTCAATGATTTAAAATGAGGATTCAAGCACATAGCTTTTTACAAAGACAAAATAAGTTTCTAGTGTATTGAAATATTTAGGCATTAATAGATATGAATGCGTCATGAGACTGTGAAAGAACAGCTCAAAAATTATTGGGTTTAATTGCAAAATATTTTCCCGCCTTTTATGGGAAGCTAAAACTGCGGCCGCTACAACAGTTGACCTTTACTTTTTTAATGAGTTAGTAACATAGCGTAGCAGTTGTTGAGGCCAATCACTAGCAGACTTCACAAAACTGTGGGAACGGTTTCTAACTCCACCACGCCAG